TCACAACAGATGCTGTCAGACCAGCTGAGTTTTGTTTTGTTCTGTTTTCAGATTTCCAGCATCCGCAGTTCTTTGTTTTATTTTACTGTTCATGGTAACGATAAAGGATCACAGTGCAATATAGCTTATTGGGTTTATGGTCTACAGAGGTCCCCCTATCTCCAAATGAGCGATTGTACTAATTCCCATCCAAATGACTTCTTTTTCCCCCTCATGTGGTGTTAAGAGCCTAATGTCTGCTACCCATATTTCAATCTTGGCCCTCTCGGCCCAACAGTAAGCTGTTTTTACAGCACTGAGACAAAGGGAAAGAACTAAAGATGATAGAAGTGGATGGAAGTGGTGATGAATGAACAGGAGAGCTGATCAGATTCCTCCATTGAGAAAACAGGAAGTTTGAAGAGGGCAGGAAGGGCTGGTAGTATGGTAGATAACATGTGGGAGAGCTGTTGACAAGATGCATGAGGTAATAAAAGTTGTAGTTCATGAGCATTGATGACGAGTACATGCATTGGTAGCGTTGGACTGAATGATGGCCCTGTGAGTGTGAGGTAGCAGAGAGCACAGAAGATCATGAACCTTCTTCCTTCACTGATGGGCATTGGATTTCATCTGGGAGACTGCAGGGACCCTAGACACTAACTTGGTCTAGGCTTGCTGAGTCTGATGAATGGCCTTCATTGCCAGTTAGTAGGACACAGCAATGGCCTCCTCTCCATGACCCCATTCATCAGCACCTCCAGGTCCTTGTTGGTGAACCAAGGAACTAACCTGCCTTTCTGTGCCATATCCTTGGGGATAATGGGACTGCGAAGCTGGAATATAAATATAGTATCAATGGCATGAACTTCACAAATTCCCAGCACAGACAAGCACTTCCGCCATGTGATTCCACAGACAGGCACCATAGAAGCTGTTTGCATAATGAATGATGAAGAGTAGAAGATTGCATTAAAAAAAATGGACCAGGTGCCATGAATCTCACTTAAAAATCACTTTGCTTGAAAATGAGAATTTGCCTTAAGTGTGTAAATCTGTGATATTACAGACATACAAAAGTTAGTGATGTTAATAAACTTTAAGATATCTGTCTCAACAAGCATCTGTTTGTGGTATTTGTTGTTTTGTGGACTAAGACAACAGAAAGCCACAAGATGCATTAGATTCCATTCTGAGATGATCACTACCTCAGGTTGTCTGTTTTGACATTCTGCTAGAGCAGTGGAAATTCCAAATAGCATGTGAAAACATGACATCTAGATGCAGTTTAAAAAAACTGCTACTTTTATCCAGCTTCACTTACCAGGAACCAATTCTTCGCACCTACAGTAGTAAAGACATTTGCTTTGGCATGTTGTGGTAAAATATTTTAAATAGTTTATCTTTTCAGAGTCTTATTGAGATCCTTTGTATCCATATACACACTCAGTTCTAGTTTTTTTACACTGCTATCAGGTTGTGAATCTGATCCATGAAAGATTTCATGTTTTTGAATACTCCCTTCTTTTCCAACTCTTCTTTCCTGTCTTTCAAGTTGGACTTGAATGCAGCTGGAACGCTCTTGGTCTCACATTCTCATTCACTTTGTAATCCTTTAGGTTCTGTTCAGCAGTCGATGGCTTAGTGGCCTGTGAAATGCTGCAAATCTCCTCTGGTATGTTTAAGGTTATTAGTTCAAGCTTTACAGCCGTGAGCTGGGTCAAATAGTGTCAAGTATATATAGTGGGAAACAAAATTATTTCCATTCATTCACGGTACACGGTTTATTTGGCTGGGCCAGCATTTATGTCCATCCCTAACTCCCTTCTTGAAGACCATTGGTGTAGGTACCCCCGTAATGTTGTCCGGAAGGAAGTTCCAGGATTTTGATCCAGCAACACCGAAGAAAACAGTGATATATTTCCAAGTTAGGATGACGACTGGCGTTCTATGCAATGCCAATCTCCTATCTTTTCCCTGTGATCATGCACATTGTTTGCATTCAAATAAACATCTGATGCACATTTGACTGAACTTGCCTCCACCAGGCAGTACATACTTGCATTAATAAAAAGTTTTCTCGTCTCACATTTGTTGTTTTGCAAAGCACTTTAAAATTGTGCCCTTTGGTTCTTGGTCTAATTATGAATGGGAATGGCTTTTCCCTATCACCTGTCTCCAGATTACTCATAATTTTGAAAACCTTTGCTAAATCTCCTCTCCAAGGAAAACTGACTCAAATTCTCCAATCTTTCCTCATAACTGAAGTGTCTTATTCCTGGAACCAGTCTCATAGACCTCTTCTGTACCCTCTCCAATGCATTCACATCCTTCTCATAGCGTGGAGCCTAGAACTGTACACCATACTTCAGTAGAGGCCCATCTAATGTCTTATATAAGATCATTATAACCTTGCTGCACTTGTACTTCATGCCCCTATTCAAGAAGCTTAGAATATTGTATGTTTTATTACTCTTCTCGCTGGCTGTCCTACCTTTAATGACTTATGAACACATATACCCCACGTCTACTCCTGCATACACTTTAGAATAGTACCCTTTCTTTCATACTGTCTCTCCATGTTCTTTTTATCAAAGCGCACACATCACATTTCTCCTCATTGAACTTCATTTGCCACTTTTCCTTTCACTCGACCAACATGTCAAATGTTCTTTTGATGATCTACACTATCCTCCTCACAATTCTTTCGAGTTTTGTATGGTCCTGGGGAACTCTGTGATAAAGCTTCTTCTGGCCTGAAAAATTCCCCCTAACCATTACTCTCGGTTTCATTCCTGTGTTTTCTAAGCCAAACTTTGCAACTATTTTTTGGAATATTAGCAATTCTCCATTCCTCTGGACCACCAACTCCCCCCCCACCTTCCCCTAACCCCCCATTTCTCCATGCCTTAATGCACCACAGGCAGAGTAACAATATGCTCGCTATGAACCTGTGTGGGATAAACAGAGGCCGAACATGGTATGAACAGTCAGCATTTACATCACAGACAAATGGCAGTTTAGCATCAAACTCAAGAAGGTGAGATATGGAGGACTTCAACAAGAAAGGCTATGGAATGCCTGTACATGAACCTTTGACAGACTGGACCCTTATTCAGATAGATGCAACACAAGCCATTCTTGCAAATACAATGGGAAATTGAAAGTACAGTTGGATGAATAAAACCGAGTGCTCCACCCCTCACGTCATCCAAGAAAGTTAGCAATGAGAGCACATTGTTAAGTATAGTTCAAGGGAAGAGGAAACCAGCTCCACAGTCTCATGCAGCCGATGATGCCTTAAATGATCTTTGTGAATTGTGGCCCAGAGTTAATGGTATGTTGGTCTTCATGATGACAGGACTTGAGCACAGGAGCAGGGATGTCTTGCAGCAATTGTGCAGGCCCCTGGTGAGACACCTGAAGTATTGTGTGCAGATTTTGGCTTCCTTATATGAGGAAGGGTGTTCTAGCTATAGAGGGAGTGCAACAAAGGTTTACCTGGCTTATTCCTGAAATGGCAGGACTGACGTATGAAGAGAGATTGGATCAGTTAGGACTACATTCACTGGAGTTTAGAAGAATGAGGATGATCTCATAGAAGCCTATAAAATTCTAACAGGACTAGGCAGGGTAAACTCAGGAAGGATGTTTCCGATTACTGGGTTGCCCAAAACAAAAGTTACAAACTAAAGATACAAGGTAAACCATTTAGGACTGAAAGGGGGAGAAATTTCTTCACCCAGAGCCTGTGGTATTCATTACTAGAGAAGGTAATCAAGATGAAAAATTCAATGTTTTCAAGAAGGAGAGATATAGATAGCTTTTTGGACTAAAGAGATCAAATGGTATGGGGAGAAAGTTGAAACAGGGTTCTGAATATAAAGATCAGCCATGATCATATTGCATGGTGAACCTTGCTTGAAGGGCTGAATGATTTACACCTCCTCCTATTTCCTGGTTCTACGCAAGAAGGTTATCTATGATTACTTCTGCTTCACTGAGCTGATTATGATGTAATCCGTAATGACCAACGACATGATCAAAATTGCTTGTGGCCAGGCTTTGTATTTGACAGAATTGGACTGTACATGTGTTTCAAATTCTATCATTACAGGTGTCCTCAATCTGTACTGTGTAAGTGCCTGATTAATGTAATTGCCTTGGGAATCTGGGAAGATTCCACCCCTTATGTTTAAGGAAGGACCTTACAGGTAGACTTCTGTCCTGTTCAGAAGAGCAGGTTAAAATTGTCCCCAGGGAAGACCAACAACTGAATGCTCTGGCTGATTTTAAAATCACCTTTTATTTCCACTGGTTGACAAATCAGCAATAATGGGATGTACATTCAGGATTACCACTGATGAAATAAGGGTCAGCAAAAGTATTTTGTTTTTCAGAAGAAGTCATTTAAATATAAGGTACTTTACAGAAATGATTAAGAAATCAACTATAAAAACGTCATTTAAAATTTGGGTAGATGGACACTTATAAAAGTACAATATTAAAGTGTGTTGGCATTAGGGCAGGGAAACAGAGTAGATAGCCCCAATTAGAGATTTGGCACATGTCTTATCTGCTTTGATTAAGACATACTTGAAATGTATCAGCACTTTATATTCCCTTTTGGAACTGCAGGTCCTTGTTTAAATGTATATTTGGCCTCTGATTTGCAGTCAATCTTGGATATCTATTATTCTGTTTCTCTTTAAAAGGTAGCAGTGCAGGCTCTGTCAGGATCAGGTTGATCCTCATTGTACTTTGCAGACAGATGTATGTGGTAGCTACCTTGCATTTAATGTTTGGGTGGTGGAATCTGCTCAGGTGGAGTTGTGCTGATATGGAAAGAATGTAGCTTAGTTGATCTGAGAGGGTGTGGTGGAATGTGGAAACTCTGCTGCCACTCTATTTTATTCTTTATGCTTTCTGCTTGTTGGAGGTTGCTCTGCCTCCCTTTTCTCCACCCAGAGGGAGTGAGAGTGTGAGTCAGTGTCAATGGGGTGGAACCCTGTTAATACATGAACAAATAACCTGGGAGTTACCTCTGCCAGCATTCACTTCAACCTTAGTCTCGTCAGCCAGCTCGCTGGAACACTGAGTAGCAAAGAGTATTCAGCTGTTAACATTGGTAGCAGAGAAGAAACTCCACAGGAATTCCTTCAGAGAACAAAAATCCAATAGGTGAGTTTTTGTATTTCTCTTAATCATTCTGACACTTCGGTAGCTTTGATAAGATTTGATCAAAGTTTAATCAGCAATCTATTTACATGCTTTTGCCTTTTAACATATAAGGAACAAGAAAAGAATCCCAGCACCTTTAAAAAAAGTTCAAATGACAATATTGTTTAGCTGGCAGAAGAAAGTTTTGTTTGAATTTGTCAGATTTTCCTTCTGAATCCAATGTCTGTTGATGGATTTTGGCTTGTCAGTTATTAAAGATGTTTCCTCCTTAAAATGTCATTGCTATGTCATAAATTTTAGGTAAACCTGAAAGTTGTGTACATGAATGAAATTATCTAATAATCCTAGGAATTATGAAGCAATATATTTAATGCACATGTTACCAGTAGATTTGTCAAGGGTCAACTCATTAGGAGTGAAATTTGAATCATTTGTATAATTGTATTGCTTTGACTTTGGTATGAGAAACCTCGTAAACAAGTGCTTGTTCACTAGATTGGTCAGATTGTAACTAGCTTTGACTTAAATCATTGCATATAAAGCCTCTGCCTTTACTGTGGTATGTTTTTCAATAACTGAGGAAGTGATTGGCGATCAGGTAGATAAAAGCAATACTTGTAAAAGAGTCACAAATCTATGGGTTGAATTTATTTTCAGGTGTGGTTGTGGATGGTAAGGCAAAAACAAATATGCATTGAAATGTTTTTTTGCTGATGATTAATCATAGTTTCAGTGGGCATGCATAAAGTGGCTCAGGCAGAGATGATTTGGGCAATCAGATGCCTAACATACATCGACACGCATTACAACGAGTAAGAATCTTCAGATCAGTCAGCTGGGAACTCTACGTGAGTTGGTTTTCCATTTGCCCAATATGGAGTGAACATCCTTCTTATTTAGTTTTATACCTTACTTAACCCGGCTCAGATGTTACAGGCACAGGTGGCAGTAGACAAGCCTTAAAAACTTTAAGTGTACAACAAAGATAAACTGGAGTTTACCCATCTAAAATGACACAGCTTGCTACTGCTAAGTTTCCTCCCCAACCTGGATCACCATTGGAGTTACCTTACAGGATTATATTTGGAATAGAAAGGAATGATCTTAACCTCAGCAACAGGTCTGCGCCTCCAAACATCATTAAGCTGTTCAATCATTAGAAATAGCTTGGAGTACAGCCATAATGACTCATTCAGGAAACTGCGTGATTGAGGGTGTCACTAAGTGACAAATTGGTTGAAATCCTATCTCACTAGTCATTCCATCGTAGATCCAAAATGATTCCAAATAGATCCCACTCATTCCCTAACTAAAGAATTTAGTCACCAGCTGGTCACTGTAAAGTGCCAATTGTAGGTTGAAACCCTTGTCAGATACACAGAAGCCAAAGGGATCTCCCTCAAAGTAGTGTGTCATCCATAACCAATGCATGGACTCCTTATATTAAGTAATGAATGGTGGTGGAAATAATTGGAAATGCAAAAGTGCAGCATTAAACAAGCAGCGAACACTACTTTAAATGTCACACCAATAATGCCTTGTTGCACTTGGGTCACTAGCCTCAGAGTTTCCTTATCTATTACATGTTGTAGAATTGCCCCCAGCAAAGGGCCTATGCAGGACAACTTGCGTCCTGCCAACTGCCTTGATGTTCAAGATGCCCAAATCCTGAGGCACATCATCCCCTGATCACCTAATGTCCTTGTGCAAGAGTCTTGGATGAGGAAATGTTTCCACCATGAGACTAACAGACCCTCCGGAGCACTGAGAGACAGATCAGGATGATTTAAATACTCATTCTCCCTGCAACAGTTCAAATCATAAATTCACTTAGTTACTTGTTCCTGCAGAATGAAAGAAGGTCAATGGGATACAAGAGATGAGCAAAAGATCCTTCTTAAAACGAATATAAGCTGTAATTTGTGGAACTAAACTGTGTGTGCCGATGGACTAATTTCTGATCTCTTCATTTTAAAATGCTATTCTGCAGTCTACTCCTGACAAGGATTTTATGTACTTTAGCTTTGGCAAAATCACAGTGTTATCACTGTTAATGGGATGTGACACAAAGTCAGGAATGGTTTTGGACTTTAGAAGGGTGGAGTATTTTAACTCCTCCTGAGAATAAAGTAAAAGAGATGGATGGGGAACAGTGCAGTTGCTAAGCAAGAGCCTAATGAAATGTGCCGTGGCCGGAAGTGGGGATGCTTGGGGTTATTGTCAGTAGGTAGTGCTCTTGCTTTTGAGTCAGAATGTTGTGAGTTCAAATCCCACGTCAGCACTTGAGTAGGGAACAGCCAAGTTGACACTCCAGTGCTGCATTTTCAGAGCTGCTATATTTTGTCTGTTATCTCAGGTTGATGTAAAAGAGCCCATAAACATTTTTGAGGAAGAACAGGAGAGTTGTTTCTTGGTATCTTGGCTAAAATTAAACTCCAGAGTATCTGGCCATTATCACGTTCCTGACTTTTGTACAAAAACAGAAATTGCTGGAGAAACTTAGCAGGTCTGGCAGCATCTGTGGAGAGAAAACAGAGTTTATGTTTCAGGTCCAGTTACCCTTCTTTAGACCTTGGTAACATATTGTTGCAAATTGGTTGTCACATTTCCTACACCATAACAGTGACCACTCTTCAAAAACACCTCCCTGGCTACAATGTACTTTGGAATGTTCTGTGGTTGTAAAAGGAGCTATTTAAAAGCAGGTCCTCTTTTCTGATATAGCTGTGTCAGCTGGTGAATAGGAGGTGTGGCAGGGCAGACTACTGTTAGTACTCAAAGCTAAACAGCCCATTTTGTAGCAAACACATTATGTTTACAGATTTTATTCAAAAAACACTCTCTCTGAACCTTAACAAGCAAAATTTGTGTGAAATCACTTCCAGTCATTTAGTGTAATGTCGGTTCCAGCTGTGATTGAAAGAAGAGTTACCTAGCTCCATTCCTTCAGTCTGCAATAGTGGGAATACTGTAGGCAGTCCAGAGATGATGTCTAATAGGCAATTACAATCAGAGAGACTTGTGTCATTTTGACACAAATCCTGTTTCATTGTGCAGACAATCAGCCTGTGACGAAATGAAGGGGTGACCTTTTTCTTCACGCTGGATTTCTGATGTTAATCATGTTACAAAGAAGTGCAGAGACAGACCAGGCACTCTGTCTCTGAGATGAAAAAATTGCATAGAACATTTTAACATTGCAGCCTCCAATGGAAATTCTGATCATGGTGGTGTCTATATGTAAGAGAACTGAAATGTTTCTTTATTTTTGTTACTGGTGATCTGGACTCTTGCTCATCATCTCCAAACTGGAAAAAATGGATGAGTGTTGTGTGAGGTGGGATTGGGCAGGATGTTTTCTCTGGTTTACATGAAGAAGGGTGGGAAGCAAAGTGGTGCCTCATTTACAGGGTGCCCTGTTTGTGTTGAAGGGTCCCCAACAAAGATATCTCAATCCCTTCCTTCTGTGCTATCTGCACAGAAGTTTCTGGCCACTGCCTCCCTTTCTCCACTTCCTAGGGTCTAGGGTCAAGTGGTCCAGAAATAAAATCATGGATTGGTGGCAGCAAATAGTTGCCTCCACGCATATTTTTCTATCTCATTCGATGGAAGTACTACACCTGCGCAATTGAAAGTAACATCAAGTGTTCAAAGTAGGAGAATATCCTGTTCATATCTGATAGATGCCTTTAAAAAGAATGTGCAATATTGTATGGAATTTCTTATGAATACGGGATGCCCAAAAGCTTTTCACAGTCAGAAGACATTAAACATTTTGCGGTGTTGTTCCTGTTGTAGTGATGGAAAAACAGCGGCTGATTTGCATGAGATAACAAGGTGTAGAGCTGGATGAACACAGCAGGCCAAGCAGCATCAGAGGAGCAGGGGCATCATTTATCTCTCTGCTGTTTGCTTCCACAAGCTTTTTTGGTGATCATTGTCCAGGGCAGATAACTGTCTCCAATATCAGGAGAGTTTTTTAAAAGTTGTAATTTGGTTCTTTTGGTGCTTCAGATGGCAGAAAGGGTCAGACATCTGAAAGCAGGTACAATTTTTCTCAAGAAGAATCATGGAGTATAGGCATCAATGACAAAGCCAGGATTTATTGGTCAAGCTGATTGCCCTGATAGTGCGATGATGAATCATTTGACAATTGGATGGTTTTCTAGGCTATTTCAGAGGGCAGTTAAATGTCAACCACATTGCTGGATGTCTGGAGCCACACCTCAGCTGGCAGATTTCCTTATTGAATAGGGGCATTAATGAAGCACATGGGTTTTTACAACAATTAATGATCACCTTTATTGATATTAATTTTACTACAGATTTACTTAAATAGTTTTAAATTTCAAAGCTACATGGCAACATTTGAACTTATCCAATTATCATCAATCCAAGCATGTTAATGGTCCAATAGTATAACCACTATGCTGACAGTTCTGATCCTTTCAGAACATAAACATAGGAAGTTTAAGTCTACTGCAATTAGAAATATTTGACCTGATAATGACGTTTAAAAGCACAGCAAATACAAGTTCGCATAATTGTGCATTTTGGTAAAACTCTTGTCGGTTTGTAGTTTTAATTAATCAAAGCTCCTTGGCAATTGATGCCAACGATTACAACCAAATCTTGATCGCAGTCCCCTTGAGAAAAAATACAACAGAATTTCAGATGGAGACACATTAAATCTAATCAATTTGGTGAAAATTTGCACTGACTATTAGAAAATGGGAACGTTAGTGTCATTCCGCTGTGCTAACAACCCCACCCAAAACTTGCACGACTGGTTTAGGTAATTTGCAAATACACACACACACACACAAACTCTTTATTTTAATTTTTCATTTTACAGAAGCTGTTTTTTTTCTCCACCCATATAATTTAACCGCATAGTCACTAACATTAACTGGTTATGTAAGTACAATCCTTGAATTTATTAAGAAACTTGCTCGAGGGCTTTCAGGTGAAACTGGTCCAGAATACAAAGAAGGATATGT